GCCAAAAAAAAAAGAGAGGGATGCGTTGGTTTGGAGGAGGAAGGTACCCTTTTTTTTTTTTTTTTATAGACAATAATAGTAATAATAATAATATTATTATTATTATTAATATCTCTCAGCATCTTTTTGACGAACACTTCATCGTAGCGAAATGAAATTCTCCCCTAGGTAAATTCGACGTTCCGGACGCGACCGCACTGTCCGTTTTATCGTTCGGGATCGTTCAGACCACCTTTTTAGCTATTTGGGTCAAAACGATAATTTGCGCATTTTTACCTCGCCCGCGAAATTGTGGTGCAACGAACGCCTTTTTTTAGTGGAATCAACGTTCTGGACTCACTCGCGTGGTCCGTTTCGTTATTCGGGGTTGTTCGGACCACTTTTTTAGTAATCGAGTCCAAAATGATAATTTACGCATTTTTAGCCCGCACACGAAGAGTTAACGACATGGACGTCTTCTTTAGGTAATATAGACGTCTCGGACACACATAACATCAAAAATTGATGCCAACAATGAGCAAAGCACATGGCAAATGTGGGGCACTCCATGGGCTCAGGAAGGGCAGGTTCTGGTGGGTTGTCCCTCCAATTTGTTTTCACCGTTTGTACATAACAATTCTCAACAGGATGTCTTGAATTCTTTGCCACACAAGCCTATGATGCCACCCATATCAAAGAATCACAATATTCAGCGTTTTCATCCTAGTAATCACCAACAGAATGGTGGGATATATAATCTTTGTCTTAGTTTGAATGGAAATGGCATATGGCTGCAGGACGTGCCCTTTCAGTCTCCGTTACGATTTGAGGGGGATGATCATTTACTTCCTCTTAATATTATGGATGATATTACTCAGAGTAAAGCTACCTATAATAGTCCAAACAAATCTTTAGCTGTGAAATCTTTTGGAACGCATCAAGCTAGTAGTTGGCCCAAGTAAGTATTTTTATTTTTTTTTCCGGAAATTTCATTTATTTGATGCTTGTTTCTATAATATATGTAAAACACATAAAAATAATATCTAATACGCCATTTATGTGTGTTTTGGCTGAAAGTGCAATTGAATTTACATAATTTTCAATAGTTTGAGTACTCCTATACATACTTAACCTGTTTAATTTTTTTGCTTTCTACCTTTTTTACAAGTTAGTTATTTATTTGTTGTTCTTGTAAATTGTATGTTCTATTTTTATGTCACCAACTTGATTTATATTTTCAAACTTGTAGTAAAAAAAATGTCGTGTATAATATTCAGTTCATCGAAGCACCTCTTTCCATGCATAATTATTAATTCTTTATATTCCATGTGGGCTCAAAAATTTCACGACCCAACGTCCTTCAAAAGAATGAATGAAAGCGAGCTTTGAATGAGATTTTAGGTCAAATTTTTCAGAAGATAAATGAGACAATAATTATCACACGGTCCACAAATTTCACCATCATTTTACAAAGACTTTAAGATATGGGGTTCAAGATTTTCTATAAGTGCTAGCCTCTATTGTTAATTATCACTTTCAATAAAGAGAGAGCACTTTCGATTAATGTTAGTTATTAGAAATTAGGTATTTGGAGTTAACATATGATAATGGTAGACCAATGTTTTAAAAGGCGTGGTTATTGGGTGCGGCGTTTTAGCTTGTGATGGGGTGAGGTGTAAGCCCCAAGACGTCGGGAGTAAGACCCGCGGTATTAAAAAAAATATGAAAAATAAATATGAAGGAAAAAATAAACTTTTTGTGCATAATAAAAAAATTAAACACAAACAAAACAAGTCTTCAATGATTAGAATCTTCAAGATACTAGCAACAATCCACAAAAAAAAAGTTAAAATGTTTAAAGATAAATAAACATGATTGAGCCAAAAAATAAATTTATGATCATTTGGTCTCAATCCTCTAAGGTTATTCATTCTTTAAACTCATCATTAAAATTTTCTTCTTTACCAATAGTTATATCCAAATCGCAATGAGGTCCTTCCTATTCTCTGCATTCATTGCCCACTTCATTGGAGCTATCATCATGCTCAATCTCAAACGCATTCATAATTTGTTTCTTATCATTGTTGCCTAAATTGCAAACACAAACAAAACGACATTCATAAATATTTTGGATATTTTTTCTATAAGAAATTAAGAATGCATATTTATGTAAAGAACAATTAAATGTGAATATGAAACTTATTCTTTCATTCATCTTTCTTTTCCTGTGAGAATATGTTATAAAAATGTCCTTTTTTTCCTTGTGTATTATTTTGTTATTCTTCATTTGCATTTGTCGTGAGCACATTTCTGTTTACATCAACATCAAAAACCTGTTCTTCATTCATCCAAGAAGGTTCCTGTGGAAGCCCCGAATCTTCTTTCTCAACAATTCACCTCATCATCAAAGTTAATATTATTTATCAATATTTGATCGAAGTCCTGTTTTCTTCTTATATTTCTCTCCCTCAATCTAATATTGTATCTTACATATATTGGAATAATCAACCTCTTGTGTTGCAACCTATTCCTCTTCTTAGTATAAATCTAAGATAAGAAAATATTATTTTTAAGAGGTGATTAGGTGATTATGAAAGCAAATAATAATAATTTTAAAATTTAAGAAATAAAAGAATAATTACCGATTTAGAAGTAATCCAATTTCTTTTGCAAAATGATGAACTTAATACGAGACTAAGAACTTGAATCACAAAAGTTATTAACTTAAATGTTTTCCTATCAAATCTCATCCACCAATCAGCAGGAGTTCTCAACTTTCATGAATTCATAGTAACTCTAATTACAAAGTTTCATCGTAAGTTATCATACAAGTCCAGTTGAATATCAGCTCTAAGCCGATCTTCATAGTTCAACATTTTTTTAATACAAGTAATTAATCATTCTTTTACCTCATCATCATTAGAAAAATTATCCTTAAAGCGAAATTGAGGGTTTAAATAATAACCATCTGCATGTAATGGTTTATGAAGTTGGACTTTCCATCTTCCATCGGTTTTCTTCCAAATAAGTTCATACTTCTTTTCATTATGCCCACAATTAAAATAATTTTTTCTTTTGCTGAATCCAGAACTCATAAGCATACATCATGGCTCTAAGCCAATCTTCATAGTTCAACATTTTTTTAATACAAGTAATTAATCATTCTTTTACCTCATCATCATTAGAAAAATTATCCTTAAAACAAAATTGAGGGTTTAAATAATAACCATCTGCAAGTAGTGGTTTATGAAGTTGGACTTTCCATCTTCCATCGATTTTCTTCCAAATAAGTTCATACTTCTTTTCATTATGCCCACAATTAAAATAATTTTTTCTTTTGTTGAATCCATTAACTCATAAGTATACGTCATGGCTAGCCTTTCTTCTAAGTCAACCTCTCTTAGAGCATTTACAAGCGATACAACACTTTTGATACAATAAACAACATAACCCCAAAATTGTGGATCAAACAAAATAACAGCTCGAGCTTTTATACGTTCCGTCTTTTTTGCCCATTGACTAAAACACTAAGCTTCTGAGGAGAATATTGCCCGAAGTGGTTGCTTATGCTTGTAAATGCTTTGAATTGTCAAATATGTTGCAACAAAATGTGTGATGGCTGGACGAATAAGTTCTCTCTCCTTTGTAAAGGATCTCATCAAGACTATAACCCATGTGTGCCCATAAATGGATTTTACAACTTGTTTTACTTTTGCAATTGTGCTCTAATGAATCTTCAACTTTTTAATATCTTTTAACATTAAGTCAATACAATGTGTTGCGCATGGTGTCCAATAAATATGTTGTCTTTTCTCCATTATTTTTTTACCCGCATTCACATAATTTGACCCATTATCTGTTATAATTTGCACCACATTTTTTTCTCTCACTTCCTCAATCACGTCATTCAAATAAGTGAATAGTAAATCATCACTCTTTATAGCATTTGAATCATCCACAGATTTACAAAAAAGAAGTCTCAGTTGGACTGTTCACAAGAAAATTAATCAAAGTTATATATTTTCTATCTGTCCAACTATCTGACATAATCGAACACTCATATTTACTCCATGCATTTTTATACTCTAGCATCTTATTGATTGTAGCAACCTTATCTTCGAGTCATGCATTGTAGTGGCAGTAAAATCAGATCTAGAATTAACAACCGCTTCGAATATAGACATGTAATATGGGTCATTAGCAACATTAAACGCCAATCCAACTGAATAACAAAACCTACCAATTGCCCTAAATGCTTCTTTTTTTTCATTTGTTTTCCACCTAGAATTTAGAGTAGAATTTCTTCCTTGTGTCGTGGTGAATGAATCCATTGGACCTCTAACTCCATCGACCTCTGGGAGGAGTCAACTAATGATGAGTTTGTAGCATTTTCACCTTCACCAATATTTTTTAAACTACTTCTGATATCATTTAAGACACCGTCACTTTGTGCTTTGACTTTTGCATCTCCTTCTAATGTTTTCTTACATCTTAAATATTCAATGGTGGTTTTGAGTATTGTTTAATGTTTCATCCACTGCTCAATTAATTTTCTCTTGTAGTATATGGGAATGTATTTTTTAGAGTCAATATCTCATTTATTCCAAATTGGTGATAAAGGGAGTTTATTTTTTATGATTTGCTCGCTAAAATCTCATGGCATATTCTATTAATTTAATATTGGAAAATAAAATGAGTCTACTATCCATGCAAATGTCGGGCAAAGGAGACTTGCATCTGATCCAATAAGATATTAAGACCATGTTTTTGGTTAGAAGTAGTAAGTTCTCTACAACAACAACAACAACAACAACAACAACTTATTCCACTAAGTGGGGTTGGCTACATTATTCCTTTTTCTCCATTGCATCCTATTGAGTCTCATATTTTCATTTTCTTTATAGGTATTCCTCTGTCTTTCTTAACATAAGTAGAATCTAAAACATCCACTCTTCTAATCAGATCATCAGATAGTCGATGTTTAATGTGACCAAACCATCTAAGAAAATTCTCTATAATCTTGTCTGCCACTGGAGCTACACTAACCTTATCACGAATATATTCATTTCGCATTTTATCTCTAAGTGTCAAGCCACTCATCCACCTATACATTCTCTTCTCAGCAATACTTAACTTTGTTTTATGCTTCTCTTTTAAAGGCCAACATTTTTGCGTCATAGAGCATTGCAGGTCCCACTACCATCTTTTAATATTTTTCATTAAATCCAAACAGTACTTTTCTATCACACAATAGGCTCGATGCATTCCTCCACTCCAACCAACCAACTTGAATTCCACTGATAACATCCTAATTTATATCACCATCACTTTGAACAATAGACCCGAATTATCTAAAATCTACCCATCTTTTAATGATTTGATCATACATGGTTACAACTTTGCCACTAGAGTTACTACTACTAAAATTACATTTCATGCATTCAGATTTTGATCTACTCAAACGAAGGCCTTTAGACTCCAATGTAAACCTCCATAATTCAAATTTTTTCTGAACTTTTTCTCAAGTCTCATCCACAAGAAGGATATCATCCGACTGTAAATTTCTAGCAAGAACACCATAAATAAAGCAAAAAAGATATGGGCTTCAAGCAGATCCCTGGTGTAATCCAACTGCAATAAGACAATACTAGGTCAACCCTCATTCTATTTTTGTTCGAACACAAATAACAACTTTAGTATACATATCTTTAATAACTTGAATATAAGTCATCTCAATACCTTTCTTCTCCAAAGCTCTCCAAAGAACCTCTCTTGAAATCTTATCGTAAGCTTCTTCTATATTAATAAAAATCATATGTAACTTTCTTTATACTTTTCCATCAAACCTCTCAATAAATGTATAGCTTCCATGGTAGACCTGCCCTGTATAAATCCAAACTAATTATGAGAAATCTTTGTATCACGCTTTAACCAATGTTCAATTATCCTCTTCCATAA